GGATGTTTACTGGGGCAGAAACCACACAAACTAAGCTTTAGCCGCAGGGATGTTTACTGGGGCAGAAACCACACAAACTAGGTTTTAGCTGTAGGACTGTTTACTGGGGCAGAAACCACACAAACTAGACTTTAGCTGTAGGACTGTTTACTGGGGCAGAAACCACACAAACTAAGTTTTAGCTGCAGGGATGTTTACTGGGCAGAAACCACACAAACTAAGCTTTAGCTGCAGGGATGTTTACTGGGGCAGAAACCACATAAATTAGGCTTTAGCTGCAGGGATGTTTACTGGGGCAGAAACCACACAAACTAAGCTTTAGCTGCAGGGATGTTTACTGGGGCAGAAACCACACAAACTAAGCTTCAGCTGCAGGGATGTTTACTGGGGCAGAAACCACATAAATTAGGCTTTAGTTGCAGGGATGTTTACTGGGGCAGAAACCACACAAGCTAAGCTTTAGTTGCAGGGATGTTTACTGGGGCAGAAACCACACAAACTAGACTTTAGCTGCAGGGATGTTTACTGGGGCAGAAACCACACAAACTAGACTTTAGCTGCAGGGATGTTTACTGGGGCAGAAACCACACAAGCTAAGCTTTAGCTGCAGGGATGTTTACTGGGGCAGAAACCACACAAACTAGACTTTAGCTGCAGGGATGTTTACTGTACAGACAAAAAACTTATCTAGGCAATATTGTCAAACAAATCACCTGTTGCTTCATCCCTGACAAAAGCAGTTATCCTGACTGGTCTGCGATCATATAATGGTACAACTCTCTCAATATCTTCTCTCGGAATGGAGAAACTGACGTTTCCATTAATCTGAAATATACAGAAAAAGGTCAGCATATTAAAAAACACATCAGAAAAAAAGATATACTAGATCTTTTTTAAAAAGGTTTGACAAATTAGTAATCTCGAAGCCCTGTGTGAGATCCCGGGTACCATTTTAGGGCAAAATAATACTTAATGCCCACTGATGATTGATCAATCTTCCTAGAAAACATGTTAAATTGTAAAGTATATTGTGCAGTGAGGAGACATAGAACTCACAACCTATGGCGATGGCGAGTGGGACTAGCAAGACCGGCCCGCATAAAGAACAGTTTTCCATAATTACAATATGGGATTTCACGACCATTGTTGTCTACATTTGTGTTTACTCTGTTTCTTCTCAGACGCTCAGCTCTCTTCCTTTCTGCAATCGTTTTTTCCTTCATTCTCATTCCATTCCTGATGTTCCGTCTCCACAGAACATGGTTCATGGCATTATGTTCCCATGAGTCCACCTCAATAACTGTATCACTCATGTCCTGCTTGCACACATCTTTATATTATAGTAGAGGTCAGCCTTGATATCTTCTACCCATCTTTAATTCACCACAGAGGATGTCGTTAGTGCTTCCTCAACTGGTTATCAATTTGACTATTTAAGGTTTTGGTCCAACTGCATGAAATAGGCCAGTAGGTGTTGATATTGTAACCAAGCTGTGAACCCCAACCACAGCACAAAACGGCAACTGCCTATTAAAGTGAAATACAGAAGACGAAGAAGTGACTTGGATGTCAGAAACCTTAATCTCCTTCAAGTGGGTCTCTATCTTAACTGTCTACATTTACTTTTCTCAAGGGTCCTGCTATTGTTAGAAATATTTAAAGAAGACCTCTCTGGAATAAGTGCAGAACAGCTATCGTGGCCTTTCTATCTTCCGCGGACTGGAAGATCTCTCTAGATTAAGTACAGAACAGCTATCATGGCCTGTTTATCTCCTCAGGACTGGAAGATCTCTCTAGAATAAGTACAGAACAGCTATCACGGCCTGTTTATCTTCCACGGACTGGATGATCTCTTTGGAATAAGTACAGAACAGCTATTGTGGCATGTTTATCTTCCGGGGACTGTTAGACCTCTCTGGAATAAGTACAGAATAGCTATTGTCGCATGTTTATCTTCCGCGGACTGGAAGATCTCTCTAGAATAAGTATAGAACAGCTATCGTGGCATGTTTATCTTCCTTAGACTGAAAGATCTCTCTGGAATAAGTATAGAACAGCTACCAGGCCCTGCTTACAGGGTTTGATTGAGTTTTTTTTTTTTTCTACATTGAATAAGCATCTTGTGTTCAATGTTTCTTGTGTAGTAGCAATCAATTACACAACTTCCAGCTTGCTAAGCCAATCGAATGGTGGGGCAGGGAGAAATAATCTGACCTAGTTGGTGCCGATCTTCTTCCAGACGAGCCATTGCCCCTTTAGCCTGAAACCTGATGGATTTAGTATTCCAGTGTTCACCACGAGGAGGTGAGATTAACCTGGGTGATCTATGGGTTGTTGGCAGGCCACATAAATGTCACTTTTTACCTCTCAGAGTAGCTAGCCTACCTCAACACTGCTGGCTGCAGTGCCAGATGCTTGAGCACACACACGCATATGAGACTTTTTACAGCAGAACATCTGAGAGGTAGGTGAGAGGAAGACAAAGAAAGAGATGGAGAAATGGTTTAGCCAAAACCAGCAAAAAGATGAACAAATTCATCACCCAAGCCACCTGAGAAGTGCAAGACAAATACAGGAAACCACAACACTGGGCGACAACCTGGTATCAGTGAGATGGCAAAAAAGAAGAATAAGAAGGATTAACAGCTAAAAATTACAAGGAACCATTTAGAATAGTTTTAACATAGTCTAACTGTAGGAAAGTCTGGTATAGCTTGGTTACTTGTTATCCGTATCAACAACCTAGAACATTGATCTGATCCATTTGTGCTCCATCTCCCAATACAGCAGTCACTTCTGTGTCTCCAAGCTAACCAAACTTGATAGAAGCTAATTGGCATATCTTTTTTCTTTTCCAGTTTGTGCATGCTTGTTTTCATTCACTACCGATTTCTAATGCAGCTCATCATTTCTGACTGCTCCGTCTCAACGTCTCTGGAACGCAGGACATTTAGTATGTCAGCTCTGTGCCTACTTCACTACAGCTCACAGTAGAGACAAAACTAAGCCAGATCAGCTGTGGGGAAAGTCTGGTGTAGCTTGTAGAGCTCTCAACTGTAAGGAAAGTCTGGTGTAGCTTGTAGAGTTCTCAACTGTGGGGATAACTTTGGTGTAGCTTGAAGAGCTCCTAACTGTGGGGGAAAGTCTGGTGTAGCTTGAAGAGCTCTCAACTGTGGGGATAACTTTGGTGTAGCTTAAAGAGCTCCTAACTGTGGGGGAAAGTCTGGTGTAGCTTGAAGAGCTCCTTACTGTGGGGGAAAGTCTGGTGTAGCTTGAAGAGCTCCTAACTGTGGGGGGAAGTCTGGTGTAGCTTGAAGAGCTCCTAACTGTGGGGGAAAGTCTGGTGTAGCTTGAAGAGCTCTCAACTGTGGGGGAAAGTCTGGTGTAGCTTGAAGAGCTCTCAACTGTGGGGGAAAGTCTGGTGTAGCTTGAAGAGTTCTCAACTGTGGGGATAACTTTGGTGTAGCTTGAAGAGCTCCTAACTGTGGGGGAAAGTCTGGTGTAGCTTGAAGAGCTCTCAACTGTGGGGATAACTTTGGTGTAGCTTGAAGAGCTCCTAACTGTGGGGGAAAGTCTGGTGTAGCTTGAAGAGCTCCTAACTGTGGGGGAAAGTCTGGTGTAGCTTGAAGAGCTCCTAACTGTGGGGGAAGTCTGGTGTAGCTTGAAGAGCTCCTAACTGTGGGGGAAAGTCTGGTGTAGCTTGAAGAGCTCTCAACTGTGGGGGAAAGTCTGGTGTAGCTTGAAGAGCTCTCAACTGTGGGGGAAAGTCTGGTGTAGCTTGAAGAGCTCCTAACTGTGGGGGAAAGTCTGGTGTAGCTTGAAGAGCTCCTAACTGTGGGGGAAAGTCTGGTGTAGCTTGAAGAGCTCCTAACTGTGGGGGAAAGTCTGGTGTAGCTTGAAGAGCTCCTAACTGTGGGGGAAAGTCTGGTGTAGCTTGAAGAGCTCCTAACTGTGGGGGGAAGTCTGGTGTAGCTTGAAGAGCTCCTAACTGTGGGGGAAAGTCTGGTGTAGCTTGAAGAGCTCTCAACTGTGGGGGAAAGTCTGGTGTAGCTTAAAGAGCTCTCAACTGTGGGGGAAAGTCTGGTGTAGCTTGAAGAGTTCTCAACTGTGGGGATAACTTTGGTGTAGCTTGAAGAGCTCCTAACTGTGGGGGAAAGTCTGGTGTAGCTTGAAGAGCTCTCAACTGTGGGGATAACTTTGGTGTAGCTTGAAGAGCTCCTAACTGTGGGAGAAAGTCTGGTGTAGCTTGAAGAGCTCCTAACTGTGGGGGAAAGTCTGGTGTAGCTTGAAGAGCTCCTAACTGTGGGGGGAAGTCTGGTGTAGCTTGAAGAGCTCCTAACTGTGGGGGAAAGTCTGGTGTAGCTTGAAGAGCTCTCAACTGTGGGGGAAAGTCTGGTGTAGCTTGAAGAGCTCTCAACTGTGGGGGAAAGTCTGGTGTAGCTTGAAGAGCTCCTAACTGTGGGGGAAAGTCTGGTGTAGCTTGAAGAGCTCCTAACTGTGGGGGAAAGTCTGGTGTAGCTTGAAGAGCTCCTAACTGTGGGGGAAAGTCTGGTGTAGCTTGAAGAGCTCCTAACTGTGGGGGAAAGTCTGGTGTAGCTTGAAGAGCTCTCAACTGTGGGGGAAAGTCTGGTGTAGCTTGAAGAGCTCTCAACTGTGGGGGAAAGTCTGGTGTAGCTTGAAGAGCTCTCAACTGTGGGGACAAGTCTGGTGTAGCTTGATGAGCTCTCAACTGTGGGGGAAAGTCTGGTGTAGCTTGAAGAGCTCCTAACTGTGGGGGAAAGTCTGGTGTAGCTTGAAGAGCTCCTAACTGTGGGGGAAAGTCTGGTGTAGCTTGAAGAGCTCCTAACTGTGGGGGAAAGTCTGGTGTAGCTTGAAGAGCTCTCAACTGTGGGGGAAAGTCTGGTGTAGCTTGAAGAGCTCTCAACTGTGGGGGAAAGTCTGGTGTAGCTTGAAGAGCTTTCAATTTGAACAGATATACCAACGGGACACACAATTCTTACCTCCAAACCAATCTGTGTGGATTTAGGTAGAACTCCACATTGGTCAGGTCCCTGGTCTGGTCCCACATGAATCTCCACAAAGCCCTTCACTGGCTGACCATAAGTGTATCTGGAAAATAGATGTAAGCTTACATGTGTTATGTCAATGAACCCTAATGTGTGGTCAGTATGTTATATCACTGAATCTACATTTGTTGTCAGTGTGTTATATCACAGAATCTAAATGTGTGGTAAGTGTTATATCACTAAATCTAAATGTGTGGTAAGTGTGTTATGTCACCAAATCTAAATGTGGGGTAAGTGTGTTATATCACCAAATCTTAATGTGTGGTAAGTGTGGTATATCACTGAATCTAAATGTGTGGTAAGTGTGTTATATCACTGAACCTAAATGTGTTGTAAGTGTTATATCACCGAATATAAATGTGTGATAAGTGTGTTATATCACTGAATCTAAATGTGTGGTAAGTGTGTTATATCACTGAATCTAAATGTGTGGTAAGTGTGTTATATCACTGAATCTAAATGTGTGGTAAGTGTGTTATATCACTGAATCTAAATGTGTTGTAAGTGTTATATCACCGAATCTAAATGTGTGGTAAGTGTTATATCACTAAATCTAAATGTGTGGTAAGTGTGTTATGTCACCAAATCTAAATGTGGGGTAAGTGTGTTATATCACCAAATCGTAATGTGTGGTAAGTGTGGTATATCACTGAATCGTAATGTGTGGTAAGTGTGTTATATCACTGAATCTAAATGTGTGGTAAGTGTGTTATATCACTGAACCTAAATGTGTTGTAAGTGTTATATCACCGAATATAAATGTGTGATAAGTGTGTTATATCACTGAATCTAAATGTGTGATAAGTGTGTTATATCACTGAATCTAAATGTGTGATAAGTGTGTTATATCACTGAATCTAAATGTGTGGTAAGTGTGTTATATCACTGAATCTAAATGTGTTGTAAGTGCTTTATCACTGAATATAAATGTGTGGTTAGTGTGTTATAATCTCTGAACTGAAATTTAGTTTGTTATATGCATACTAATAAGACAGATCTGTGAATGGATGAGCATGCAAAACTCAAGTCTGGAAAAAGACCAAAGTCCAGAAGGGGACGAACAACCATAATTTTTTCTTGGAGTTTACAGCTGGTGAATGTGCAGAAGAATAAGAAGAAGAAAAAGAAAAAGTATGCACTCACTCTGCTTTGATCGTGCCTGTGAGCAGTTCATCACTGATGAGAGCATATTGTTGTGTTTCCACTGTCACTTCAAACGTGGGCAGCTCTGCAAACAGATACAGGAAAGTCTGTCACAGTCATACACCACAGTGTTCATGTTGTATACACGTGGGTCACGTTCAGCCTTGAGGTCATGGTTTCAAATCGGTACCAGAGCAGCTCTTATAACTTTTTTTGGGGCCCAAGTAGTGCATCATGTCTCTTTAATCTCGGTCTCTCATTTTATTTGGTCAGAGAATGCTAAAGAAATCTGGAATTCCCATTTGCCGCTTTGAAAGTGTTGTGCTCTTAGATTGTGATTTCATAGTTGTTATTTCTCTGATTGTGATTTTATAGTGGTTCTTCTCTCCTGAAAAACCACTGTGAAAAGTACTGGTACTCAAAGAGTTAATAAATGACACAGGCTCAAAAGTTGATCAGGCCTTAAACGGGTGCCAAGATGTATCCTAGGAAATAAAGTTGGCGGGCTTGGTGTTAACTGATTAATTCATCAACTATTTCCCTTTAGTGTTGCCACCTGAAGCTCTCACTGCACTGAGTTTACACAAATCTGCTTTGATGGCAAGTCAATAAAGTAAATCCCTGTTCAGTCTCAGTAGATACTTTTATTCTCTACACTAGTTTATTCCACTCCCTCGGACCCTCTACGGAAAGAAAGGCATTATCAATGCCATACCACAGACTAAACGCTGTGAGGCTTTCAGTTTCATGAAAAATTTCTTTTCACTCGATAGACTGCATACCATGGGTGTACCAACTGGAGCCGTGAGACAGGAAAATCATGCGGAAGTGACCCGTCATTACGTTAACCAGAAGAGAATGGGAGTTGTTTTCCTAAAAACACTTAAAGACCTATACACGAGAAGATAGGAGCACTTATGGTCAAGTGCAATGTACAATGAAGATTATCTCAAACATGAACTATTCCACTACACTGTTTCTCCATTCTGGATTGCTGCCCGACAGTTTGAAACCTAAATAATAAATCTCAGTCCAGATAGCAAGCCAAGATGGCAAGTCAAGATGGCAAGCCAAGATGGCAAGTCAAGATGGCAAGCCAAGATGGCAAGCCAAGATGGCATGCCAAAATGGCAAGGCAAGATGGCAAGCCAAGATGGCAAGCCAAGATGGCAAGCCAAAATGGCAAGGCAAGATGGCAAGCCAAAATGGCAAGGCAAGATGGCAAGCCAAGATGGCAAGCCAAAATGGCAAGGCAAGATGGCAAGCCAAAATGGCAAGGCAAGATGGCAAGCCAAAATGGCAAGGCAAGATGGCAAGCCAAAATGGCAAGGCAAGATGGCAAGCCAAAATGGCAAGGCAAGATGGCAAGCCAAAATGGCAAGGCAAGATGGCAAGCCAAGATGGCAAGCCAAAATGGCAAGGCAAGATGGCAAGCCAAGATAGCAAGCCAAGATGGCAAATCAAAATGACAAATCCCAGATCCCCTTTTCAACCACCAAAGAAATTATAATTAGGTCACCTTAATGGCTAATGTAGATAAAGATGGAGGAACTAATAGAGATATTAAAATAAGAATACAAAAGGCAAGAGGAGCTTTCATAGCACTAGGAAAATGTCGAGGTCAACAGAAATCAAAAGAAATTCTAAACTGAAAATGATTAATTCCAATGTCAAATCAGTACTTTTGTATGTTGCAGAAACACGGAGAACAACTAAAAAAAAAAGTAAAAGTAACGCGGGAGATGAGAACCAGCGTCACTGCACACGGTTATAAACCATAAGTGCGCTGCCACCGGTACGGACGGCAGATAAGAATTGTCCGTTTGGCAGCAGACTGTTTTGTGTTGCTTTCGATAGTGATATATAGTGATATCGAAAGCCATCAGTTCAGAAAGCACTGGCAAACTACTGAATGTTTATTTGCCTACAAAAGGCAGAAAAATCGCTGAAGTTCTCCAATGTCATGTAAAGGATACACAACTAACTACTGGATATTATTAGCAATGAATCTGTAATTATACACGAATGTCTTCTGAGTGTTATCTATCATATTCCGTGTTGCTATAAATAATTTATATGTACACCTGCTAATTTTTCTTTTCTGAGCTGAAGAGTTACATTTAAAATTAAAGTCAAGAGAATCTTCCTCATTGTCATGATTTTTTCTATACTGTCCAGTCTCTATCTCCAGAAAAACTAGCCTTCCCACCCCCTACCCCTTTCCCCTCACGGGCATCCCACAAAGCACAAAATCTATAGCTTTAGCGATAATTCCTAGGGTTCTCCATAAAAATTTCACTCAGAAGATACATCCCTGAAAATAAAGTATGACTTTCAGAGAATGAGGCAAATGGCTTGACTATCTCGCCATGGCGACCCTGCTTAGCTGAACAAGTGAGGAAGGTAATTTGTCAAGCTTTCACAGAGGCCAAACTGTCTGAATGCCAGGTTTTGTTGTTTTTCTGGTAATAAGCAATACGTGTGCCTTCTCTTTAAAGCCTCATTTGTTTCAGCTCTACTTTAATAGACACTTTGTGGTCAGTTATGGCACATTCGTTTTCTAGAGGAAAAAGAGCGCTGGCAGACACTCAAGTTGTCCATAAACAGGCAGACTAAGGGTGTAATGATTCACTGTAAAACTTACCATACTGAGAAACTTCAAATGTCAGTGAGGATGTCTCTTTTGCATCCTGTATTTATGGAAGGACAGCAAAAATTACGTGTATTTTCAAACAATTCTAGCAATTATATTGTGTAATCTTTCTTTGTGGATATTTAAAGTAATCTGGGAAACCATTATTTTATCTTAAAAGATATTTACACCTCACAGTCTAATCCCTGTTATTGTGATGTTCTGTTTAATCCTTCCCTGCAGTTCTCTATAGCCATCTACTCCCAGTATGTTTTCTATTGCCACAGGCTTATTGAGGTGGATCATACGTTCATTAGGGTGAGTTTGGTTTATTTGTCTTTTTCTGTAAGGTGGACACTCTAGTTGGCTGGCTGGCATCACCACGCCATCAGTTTACTGGGAGTTTTCCGGTATAAAGCACCTGTTTTGTTTGCAGAATGACTTCTATCAAGAGTCCCCTTTCAGGTCCCAGAGCTCCATGTTTTTTCACTTTTTTTCTTGGGGGTGGGGCGGGGGCGGGGGGGGGGGGTCCAAATGGACCTCTAAATTGAAATTAACTATGGGGGTAGCTACAATGTGATGTGCTTGGGCTGAAGAATACAGATACTGCAGCCCAGCTGTAAACCACAATACAGCATGTCAACTACTCTTCTGTGGGTGCACACAGAAGAACAAGAAGACAAGACTAAGGCCAGGTTACCAACATGACCAAACCATTGGGCAGCTCTTGACAGAGCTTAATAGCTCTTAATGGTGCAGTCTCTCAATAGATGGGAATCCCTAGTAAAGCCAATATTTCACAGTTTTCAATGTCTTTCCACAGGTGGGTTCCCCAGTCTGACAAACAGCTCAAGGTTTGCCATATCTTTCCTCAGATTGGATCTCTAGTCTGACGAACACATTGAGGTTTGTCATACCTCCGCACAGACAGGATCCCATCTCAAGGTTTGCAATACCTCTTTACAGATGGGATCCACAGTTTTGACGACTTCAAGGTTTGCCATATCTCTCCAAGAGGGAACCCCTAATCTGACAAACGTTTTAAGGTTGGCCACACCCCTCCAGAGATGGGATCACCAATCTGACAAAACACTTTGAGGTTTGCCATACCTCTCCAATAATCAGATCCATTATCTGACAAATACTTCAAGGTTTGCCAAACTTCTTCAAAGATGGGATCCGCAATCTTACAACCACATCAAGATTTGTCATATCACTCTACTGATGTCATCTGCAATCTGACAAAAATTCAAGGTTTGTCAAACCTCTCCACAGATAGGATCCCCATCTGACAAACAAATTAGGGTTTGCCATAACGCTTTACAGATGGCATCAATAATCTGCCAAAAGCTTCAAGGTTTGCCGCACCTCTACATGATGGAATCCCCCATCCGACAAATCTTCAAGGTTTGCCAAACCTCTCCATAATAGGAACACCTATCTGACAAACATTTCAAAGTTTGCCATACCTCTCCGAAGATTTGAAATCCACATCATACATCCAGGTGCCTGACGTGAGTCAGAAGAAATCAAGAAGAGTATCAAACATCCATAAGCAATCATAAACACAAGGAAAACAACACACACACACACACACACACACACACACACACACACACACACACAAATCACACATGAACATCTTTTCAGTAAACACATACCACAAGGGAGACCTCAATAACCCAAGAACCAAACGGAGGTTCATCACTCAGCTGAAGACTGTCTTGCACAACTGACGTCTCACTAGTTGCATTAGTCACAACTTTAATCTTGTTTCCGCTAGGATCCTGTAATCAAAACACATTTTGAGATCATTATCTTCTTCTTTTATTTGTTCACCAGCTGTGGAAAGTTTTGGCTGTTCGCCCACTCCTCGGCTTTGGTCTTGCTCCAGAACTTGAGTTTTGTGTGCCCATTCGTTATACAGATCTGACCTATTTGTATGCAGACTGTTGGTTCCTTGCCTCTCAAGCAAATGCACTCTGACTTTGAAGGAAATATCCCTACTTAGTCACCTGCTAAGACATGCTTGATAAGAGGCAGTCAGTTTATCTTTGTTCTCTAAAATGGAGCCCCAGAATTATTATGGGGATGAGATCATTATGAGCCTTCTTCCTTCTGAAGTCTGACACCCCTGTCCTTAAACCCTAGGGTTGGCTACAGCAGAAGTAGGAGGTGTTTCTTCAACAGATTAAACTCAGTCTCCGACTAGAACTTAAAGGCTCAGGCCATTTCATTCACTGCCACAACCCCCCCACCCCACCCCCCCCCCCCCACCACCACCACCAGCCCCTACTCCCCAGTAATAATTATATTTATAGATATATATAATTGGAAAAAAGATTAGGTGACCTCTGTAGCCACGTACATATTAAAAAAAAAAAAAAAATATTTGTTTATATATCTGTCGGTGTCTGTGGCTTACGCTTTGCGAATTCGCTTCTTAATGCTGGGGTGCCGGGTTCGATCCCTACTGCGCACGATTTGTCTTGCGCTAGTTTTAACAGTGGTACCGAGAGCTGACGGTTCAGTAAAGAATGGCAAACTACTGAACGGAAATCTGCCTAGAAAAAACTAAAACAGCCAATAAATGCTGGGGTTGGTTCTGCAAAGTCCTGTAAAGGATACACAACTAACTTATACATTAAATATTAATTCCACTATATTATTATAATTGTTTTCCCCACATGGAGCCTTGGATCCACAGAATGAAACATCCAGCTGACGACAGCGTGTCACTGTAAGACAAGTATACCAAGACACATGACCAACTAGGAAACAGAAATGGGATTCGCCAATCTCTGGTAGCCATTCCAGCGACAGAGTCCGCACGTCTCTTGAGAATCACTTTATTTATAATCCGGGGACTTTGACACACTCCGGACTGAATTGCCAACACAGTTTCAATTAAACTTCCGGGGGATTGAACTGCCCTCACAGTTTCGACCCCAACGCCCCAGTTATGGCCCTGGTACTCCGCAAGGGGTATTTATTCCCTCCGCCGAAACGTGTAGTCATTCTGCTGAGTAACCACCGACCTGGCTGCATCGAGATACCATCTAAGTGATTTTGTGTATCTATGTAGTATTGTTTAATTTGTAGGGTTGATGAAGGCTCAATAGCCGTTGCGGCTATTGAGCCTTCATCAGCCCTACAAATCACGTTTTTTTTTTTGTTATATTGTGAAGCTTGCTAATATACTTTTCGTTCGGTTTTATATATTTTCTGGGTACTATGGAGTTGGGCTGCTGGCTTTGTGAACAAATTCTGCTATGACTGTAAAGTCCGAGGTGGGAGTGACAATCTCTGCCACATAGGGCACACAAACAAGTAGATGCTTCCTCGCTATGAGGCTGATTTACTTTATGACGTCTCCTCTCTATAGCTCGCCGCGTTTGGATGCTTTCAAAATGCGACAAACTATCTTTCACTTTCTGTCGCCATAGTAGTCGATCTGCAGCCGATTTTTCCTAAGTTTGCCTATGTTGGTATCAGTAAGGTCACGTTTTCATATGTCTTTATAACGTAGCTTCGGCCTTTCTGCATGTCTGTTCCCTGTTTCCAGTTCACCGTACAGGAGGTCCTTTGGAATCCGACCATCCTCCATGCGCGAGACATGTCCCAGCCAACGCAGATGTTGACCAACTAGCCACTCCTAAAAAAAAAAAAGGTGTCTTCATCAGCCATGTCTGTCGTCAGCTTGAACCCACAGCTACGGAATGCGGAAAAAGTTCATCTCAGACTATGGAAATGGTACTGTAGGTTACAGTAGTTCCCATTAATGAAGCATAGGTTTGAATAACAAACACAGTGATGAACAGTGACTTAATGATTTTCATCATGGCACATGATGATCGTTGCCTGTTTGCACAATGTAAATATTTAATATTCTGTGCGTGTGTTTGCTATGAGAGCAAAAAAAGTCAGGAATATAACATCCATTGGCTTTTCAAAAGCAGCTGCTGGGAGACTTTCCCAGGCCACAAGAAGAGGGTTTCTCAGCAAAAGAGAAATTGGCAAGAGGATAAAAATGGCTGTTTACCGCTCTACCTATGTGCCAGTCCTGACCTACAGGTGTGAGTCATGGGCAATGACAACAGCTCACAGAAGCCAGCTTCAGGCCCCAGAAATGAGATATCCCAGAAAAGTGGTCCAAGTGACAAGAAGGGACACAGTTCGGAATCAGACAATACGTCAGGATCTTGAAACCCAGTCCTTACAAACTCGAGTGGATCAGTCACAGCTAAGATGGTTTGGACATGTTTGCAGAATAGGAGAGAATCCGCCACCACGGCAGGCATGGGAGGCTAAGAATTAGGGATCCAGACACAAGGACAATCCAGTGTTCACTAGGAAGATAAGATTTGACAGTCCGTGACTGAAAGAGGACTCGGATGGAACAAAATCAAAAAGAAAACTGCTGAGTAGTCTAGGGATTTACTGGAAAATCTCGACACACTACGGTAGAAGAGCAGCAGCGACAAAGCAAGTTAAGTAAGTATATGTCATCTCTGTTAGTGTTTCATGTGAGATTAGAATACATCTTCACACACACTCGCATACACGCATATGCGTACACATACAAACTGGCACTCTAATGCATGCGTCCACACAACACACCAACAAATAATGCAATGACAGTGTAGCATAGATACCTATTGCGGCACTTTGTAAACACAGCATTGTGAACAATCAAACTACCACTATCTTTACACACTAAGGTAAAGACAAAATGCTTGAAATGATCTTCTGAACGTACACACAGGCCATGCAGGCGTGGTGGATAATGAACAGACAGACAGATTGGCTGGATCTGCACCACTGGTTGGTGAATTGATACACAGCAAGGCAAATGTGGTCAAGGCCCTTTGGGAACAAGCAATGGAATCAGTAGAGAAACAAGATTATTATGGCCTGCAGAGAATGAGGCACCTGGGTGTAACTAGAGGGTCTGGCCGGCTCACTACACTCAGAGGAAAGGCAAGACAGACATATAACCAGATTGTGACCGGTACCATCAGCACTGGAACTCTGCACTGGCTTATGAAGATGAGGACGGAATGCCCCCAGTGCTGTGATGTCAATTCTTGACTCAGTTTAACTCAACTCAACACACACACACACACAAACTGACTGCAGCGAAACATACCCTGACTTCATAGGAAATAGCTCCGGTATACAAGAGCAGAGATGGGTACACACCAAAAAGTCGGAAACGAACTGAAAGTACAAAAACAAAATGTCATCAGTTATCTAACAAAACCTCCCACTAATGCGGTCTGTCAGGAACAGTTATGAAATATAAAACAATAAGCATTTTACATAGCATAATGATACTCTAATCCTCATCATAATGATTCCCTGGTCCCTTTCATAATAATGCCCTAATCCCCTTGATAATGATTCCCTATCCCCTTCATAATGATGCCCTGGTCCCCTTCATAATGATGCCCTGATCCCCTTTATAATGATTCCCTAATTAACTTTATAATGATTCCCTCATCCCCTTTACAATGATTCCCTAATCCCCTTTATAATGATTTCCTAATCTCCTTTATAATGATTCCCTAATCCCTTTTATAATGATTCCCTAATCCCCTTTATAATGATTCCCTGGTCCCCTTCATAATGATTCCCTGGTCCCCTTCATAATGATGCCCTGGTCACCATCGAAATGATGCCCTGGTCCCCTTCAAAGAAGACCTTTTTGAGACCTCAAGCAAAGTTTCTAGTGCATCTGCCACTATTCAATGTACTCTGCTAAAACATTTTTGGAAGCCAGTGTGCCACTTAAAAAAAGCAAAATATCCTTCAGTGTCCCATTTGAAAGTTAGTAGAAAACTTGTCAGTCCCAACAAAATATTGAAGCTTGCACATGCAAAGTTAAAATGCGTAGGGCAGCTGTCAGATGTTGAAACACTGAACAATCACATCAAAATTGCAGTCAATCATGAGCGGACAGTCATGAAAGATGGCATTGCACTAGCAAAAGTACACACCATTCTGAACGTAACAGGCTGCCCGCCATTTCCTTTCAGTTAGCAACACTGATAACAGACACACAAAAAAAGCGTTGCAAATGAAACCTAAACAATATAGCTCTGGCCCTATATACTTAAGAGGCCTGATGGTGTGGAAAAGGTGTTTTTTTTTTTTTTATTGCTGCTGTTAGTAACAGTAATAATCCTGGATCCCAGGTCGACTGGGAGTGGGTACCAGGTAAAGTCCTGGGAAGTAAAGGCAGTCAGCGTGTTGCTGACCACATCGCCCACTAAATGCCGATTAATATATAAAATATAGATCTAACACGATATGCCTCATATGTCTAACGGAGTGGAAAACGTCTCATTATGCTACTATAAATAGCATTAAAAATAAAAGGCTCTTTCTACGTTAGTGGGATATCGAGCACATCACGCTGGATTCATATTTTGATAAACCAATAGGCATTAGGTGGGTGATATGGTCAGCTTTATTCCAGCTGCCTTTACTTCCCTGGTACCCGTTTTAGGCTGGGTCGAATTGGCGGCGAAGGTCACTTTCAAGAAGAAATCACCATAGTGTTTCCCTTCCTTTTTGTGTGTGCCATACCCCACCTAAGCCTCTCTATCATTCTTATGTCCCCCTAAGTAACAAACTCTGGACGAGTCCATTTTCAGTTTGAATCTGTAACAATCAATCTACCTCTTAACAATAAATCTGCCTCTTAACAATCAATCTACCCCCTTAACAATCAATCTACTCTCTTAACAATCAATCTACCCTCTTAACAATCAATCTACCCCCT